GTGTGTTCATATTGGGTGAAGTAGTTCCCACTGCGTATCCATCAATGCATATAAGAGGAGTACAAATTATTAGGGACACATACTGTCTTCCACTAAGCCCTACTGATTTGCTGTATTAAATCCAAGGGAGAGACATGGATAAGCAGAAGCAGTGTATTCATGGAAGAAGTGTCACTTCATACAAGTGACAAAAAGACATACTTTCCATTTGTGGTGCTCTCAGCACTGAAAATAGTTTTAAAAAAAAGCTCAGCAGCAACATCTTTCCGGGAACAATGTTGTGGTTACTCTGAATAATCCACAGACCTCACTGTGAAAAGAAGCAGGACTTACTTTATATCAAATAAATAGTCCCAGTGAGACCGCACAAAGTAAGGTCTGTTGATTTTCCAGAGTAAAGGCGCGGTGCTGCTCAGTTTGTCAAATGTATTTTTCAGTACTTTGAGGAGCACAAACAAAATTACATTTACCTTGGATATTTCATCTCTGTGCAAAACACTGAAACCTGCTGCATGGCCAGACTGTAGCTACCATTAAGGGCAACTGAGAAAAATAAAATACAATTTTATTATGGGTATATCTTATGTGCAGGTTTCTACTGTATATGTGTCAATATACATATATATGGATGCATTTCTAATTGTGATTAAAAACAAGCTAGCAGTTTGGTTGAAGGTTAACTATTAGTCTACTCCACTGGTTCTCAAACTGTGGTATAAGCTCCCTCTAGTGGTACACTGAGGAATCCAAAATATATATTAAATGAAATTCATTAATTTAAAAACATATAATACTATCAAAATGATAAAACAATTGCAAACTATGAGATCGCTGAAATGTAAATAAGTTTTGTATTTCCTGTAATATTTTGTTTCAATAGCAGCCTGCTACGTAGTCACGCTCGCGCACAAAAAGAATACATCCATGATTACAGGGTCGGATGTAGAGGGGTGGCATTGGGTGGCCATCTCTAGAAAATGCTTGGCCACCCTTTTCTGTCAAATGTTTTTAATTTAACACATTAATTTAGATTAATTTAAAAAATAATGTGTTGAAATAAGAAATTAATTAAATGGTTTGTTATGGACACATTTTAGACTAAGTGATAGGATTAAGTTCAATTATTTGGTACCTTTGCAAAGCAAATATTGATATATGTGATTGTTTGCAATTAAATCAGAATATATTTCTGCCACCCTCTGGCCCCCCATGAATATTCTTTATATCTGCCCCTGCATGATTAGTTTTGAGCTAAAATGTGATGGCAAGATAGTAAGCGTAGGTAAATTGAATAGTCCAGTGTGGACTGTGTGTAGCTGAATAGGGTCGGCCTACGCTACTGTATTTAAACGTTGGTCATAACGGTGGTACTTGGAGAGCCTCATTGTTTCTGAAGTGGTGGAACAAAGTGACGTACTCTGTATATACTGTATATTTTTAAATCAATTGTGGTATCTATTCATCAAATCACAAAATAACAAACTACTGTATATGACTCAGTGAAATGTGTAAATAATCACAAAGTGAGTTTACTCAATGGATGGGCGTAATGCTCTCCAACTAGAACAAAGTGGAGCCAAAGACAATGGCAGCAAACACAGAGAGAAGAATGTGTCAGCCATCTTTAGAGTAGAGTGGATATTCTGGCTGCTTTTTATATGTCAGGGAATAATGAAATACCTCCAGGTAGATCTTTTCTGACCTTTTTGCAGCCACTACCTTGTATCCATCCGATTATATGTTCTTCCTTCACCATCCTATCTGTATTTTTCACTAGTTTGAGTAGTAAACTTGAACCACATAGCCCCCTCCCTGCTCTACTCTTTGTGAAGCTCTTAAATCCATCAGAGTGGAGTGGACTGTTAGTGACCCTATGATTTCGAAACCACAGTAACGAGCAGTCCTGTTGGTGAGGAAACTTTTTGGAAACATTTTTGCTCTGCGTCAGTGCAGGACTGACAAGCAGTTTGTGTTTGGATATCACTTTTTCAGGTGATTGTATCTGTTCTAGGATACTGTAGAAACATGGCTGTTCAACAAACACAGTGGCCTCCACAGAAGGCGACCCACAGCGTCTGTAGATAAAATGGCTCATTCTAAGGTAACAAAAGCACGATTCCCATTTTCAGGTGGTTATACACTAATGAAAACATAATTATGAATATTATATTCCATTTGTTTTGGTCAGATCAGTTGGAGTGGTAGGAGCTTTATGTTGCACCATCTATCCACAACGTTTCACTAACTAACTTTGAACTGTTATTGACTGACTGTTTAGAGCAGGGGTCTCAAACTGAAATTGGCTCTGGGCCATTGCTGGTGTTGTCATCTCACACTTCAACACTGAAGTGCTGCAAGAAAGCGTAGTATTCTGAAAATATTTCCATTTCTAACATCATACCCAACAAAAAAGTACAAACAGCAGTTTCTGTACATTTTTATATCATCGCTGTTGTTCGCAGCCGAGCGACAAATAAAGGCCAAATCCTGTTCTCAACTGTTAGCACGCATTTACCATTAATTTGTGCCGAACAAAAGAGTGTTTTTACTTTAATTGTATATGAAGGGGTAGTTTACATTTACATGAAATAACTACAAAAAATAATAGAATAACAATCTTGCGGGCCAGATTGTATTATATTTTTGACATCACGTTGGGGGCTGGAGGGCCAGACTGGCAGTTTGAGACCCCTGGTTTAGACTAATCTGCTTGCTCGCTAACTGGCTTTTACTTTCATTCGCACCCTGTTGTATTCAGACAGTTGACTCAATGTGTGGACATATATCTTTAATCAATAATTCAGATTTTTTTCATTTAGCTGAGCTACTCTAAAATCCTCCCTGTGTACCCTTTGGTGTAAAAATACCATACAGAAATAGAAAATCTCATGAATGTGTCCCTTCCAGATGTAATAAGTACATTTTTATTTAGTTACTACACAGAGTGCTGCAGAGGATATTAATAAATCAAATTAAATATTAAATTAAACATAGGCCCACACATATGACAATGTACAATATACAAAAAATTTAATTAGAGCCCTGTTGCAGGGAAGACAAGTTGGTAAAACTAAGGAGTTTGGAAATGAATGATTGTTCAACACCATGGAGGGCCTTGTATGTCATAAGCAGTGTATTAAAGTCTATTCTGTACTTAACAGGAATGTGAGGATCGGTGGGATCTGCAGTTGCTTTTGGTGAGCAGCCTGGTGTGTGTGTGTGTGTGTGTGTATGTTTTTTAAGAGCTCTTTAACCTCAGAAAGTAGACATAGCTTGAATTATTATGCTTTGACCATGAACTAACAAAAGAACAGCACCTGAAAATAGAAAATCAACAAACTGGTGTTCCTTTTAAAACCACCGTGAATCATTCCATGTTCAGAAAATGCTGAACATCCTAATGAATTCATGAATCACAGCAGATCCATAAGTGCTGTTACTATATTATCTCTGTGTATTTCAGTGTCAACGCTGCCCTCCAACAGCAAAACTACACAACCTCACACCGTGTACCACAGTTGCTGGATATCTGCAGCTGACTGTTGCCTAAATGATTAAATGTGTCCGTGTGTGTTTAGAGGCTGCTCCGAGAAGACGAGCACTGCAACAGGAAACATTTAGGATTGTGGCCTTTTCTGGATTACATTGGTTGCGGTGTTGCCAAGACAACAGCAATTAGAAAAGACTTGGTTACCAAGCAGAGAGCGGTTATGTTTCCGTAGCAACCAAGGTCAGGGAGAAGGCTCTGGGTTTACCTGATTCTTCAGAATAAGACAAATATAACATATTTGTTATTGTACTAGGAGGCATTGGGTTCATGTAATAATCTACTACCTGTGTTTGCATTGAGGACTCCAGCAGTGACGCCACAGTTACTTACTCCACTTACTGGCTTTCAAACATCTGTGAGGAAGTTGATAATATAAGGAAAGGTAAGGCTTACATTTCCTGTAGAAAACTGAATAAATATCAACCCGATTGGGTAAAAACGGCTCAAATATGGCTTGGAACCAACACAGAACCATGCACTCAGACGTACAGTTTTTATATTTTCTATAGGTTGTCAGTTTGCTGAGAGAAGTCAACAGACAATGTGTCCTCCTATATGTAGGCCTGTCTGTGCCTGCTGTGTGCACTTCCTGTAATTAGTTGATTATCACAGCATGTTGTCACACACCAGCTTACACAAACACACCATAATGACAATGACATAACATGGCTTCCTTAAGCCTTGATCTACAAGATAGTGTTTATTGTGCTTATGCAAAACTAAGCAGCTGCGTAATAGTCGCTGCACTCACAACCCATCGATCCCCACATCTCTACCTCTCTTTGTGCTGTTTTTCACCTACCGTCTCTCATCAGTTCTTTCATCTCTCCATCCGTAAATACCTTCTTCCTTCTGCCTAAAACCCCAGTTAGTCTCTCACTCACACACTCACCTCCCAGGTCCACTGTAGTGTGTAACCAGAGGCTAAGAGGACACTTAATCCCTCAGCACCTGCTTTCCATACCACCATGACCTCTTGCAACTGCTTGGACGTGTGCTTTTTGCCTTTTATATCTGTTTATCATACATGTGGCTGTTCATGTATTAGCCACTTTGCATTAATGTTGGGACTGGGGGTTTTATACCATTTGCATATTTGTTCATATCTGCATGTTTGTGTGTTTTTAATAACACATCTGATGTGTAAACAGACGCCCAGAGCTTTAGCCTGCAGAACAGATGGACCTGATATAAAATAGCAACATTATGATTGTATAGACGGCAGGGATCAGTAGTCAAATTAAATAGGACTCTCACACTGTATATTGTCAGCGCTCCGTATGCAGTACAAACTTGTGTGAACATATTTTCAGGTTCACCATAAAGCTCTGTGGCATTAAGATGTTTTTGAGGACTATTATCCACTGTCTGTACTGCTAGTTAAGAAAAACATGATCCGGTTATAGGCGAGGTGTGATAGGAAAAGTACTGAATCTGCTGTACGACAAAACATGTTTGAAATAGTTTTTTATACTCCAATGCTTTCTCACTCACATTTGCATAAAAAAAACACACCCATGCCTGCTCATACACAAAAACAAATGTTTTCTCCTACCTGCAGTTCAACATTTAGAGGTGGGAAGCACAAACAATACCAATTCTACTTCAGGTTTCTGGCCACACCAAGCTTTTCCCTGTCTACTATTTAGTATATAGATGAGAGCTGACAGTAATAATGAACCATAGCTACTGCTACATACTTTAAAATGCAAAAAAACTAAAAGAAGCTCCCTTTACTGTCTGCAAAAAAAAAAAAAACAGAAAAATTTAGACAATTTTATTGGCATAAAATATATACAGGCGGTAGTATGTATTAAAAAAAAGTGTAAAAACAATATAATATAAAATTTCCTCTTTCCCCATTCATGTGAGAAAAAAGGAAGTTTGTTGGACAGCTGGTCATGGACCAACTGGATAAGCAATTCTGTTATGAATGTGCAGCTTTCAGTGCACAGTAGGAAAAAGAAAACACCTTTGGGTCCTTCTAAGAGGTCCGGCTACCTGCAGCTCCCACCTCCGTCGCACATCAATCACTCTCTCTACATCTCCATTTACACTTATTCCAGCCTCTCCTCCCCACAGGTCCCTCTTTGTTCAGTGGAGGAAGGGGGAAAGAGGAGGCGAGGCGGTGCAGACGAAAGGAAAAGGCAGAATTGCTGCCTTCTCGCGGAGGGGGAGGAGGGGCGGAAGTGGAGTGACCACTGTGTGATGGAAGGGAAAAAGAGGAGAGGAACAGTGGTTTCCATCAGAAGGAGAATGCAGGGAGAGGACTGCTGATTTCTCTGGGAGGAGGAGAGGGCGGCTATCAGAACAAACTGTTTTGTGCCTCCTGATGGAGGACATGTTGTATTGTCACCAGTAACTGCTAACAGAAGCCCAACGGCCCTGCAATTTCATTCCACAGGCTCTCTCAGGCTACACACATAGACACACAAGCTCCTCACGCACAAACGTGCCTCATGTGGAAATTGACCACATACTCTGCATTGGTGCGCTGGACGGAGATGGCAAAGGGTTCGAAGGGGTGGAAAGTGAAGGCGACCAGGCGACGCACGGCATGATTTACCGGCCGTCCCAGCAGTCCTGCCTGGATCTTAAACTTCAGCAGGCCGGAGTCCCGTGCGTAAAACCTGGCAGGTGAGAAAGGGAGGGATACAGTGAAAGTAGTACCGGTAAATTCTTCATATAGTGTTGTTTTGTGGAGGCCTCTGCCCGTATATGACAGAGATCCAAGTTGCCATTTACTCCTACCAGAGAAGTGTGTAGCGCATGTTGCTACTAAATCAAGTCAAAGTCAGCTTTATTCATTACTTCACATGCACCAGACATACAAAAGGAATAGAGAGGACCTAAAAAGGAAAATGCTGTAACTGTGTGCTGTGACATGAATGAATGTATCAATATTTTGTGTGTCATACACCCAAAGGTGCTTAGCCCGCACAGGCTTACTAAACACAACTGAGTGTCTGAGAGTTGGTTTGTCTCATATGGGCTACTGTAGAAAGATGGCGGTTCAACATGGCGGACTCCATGCGTCTGTAGATAGGCTCATTCTAAGGTAACAAACATAACGGTTCCTATATTCAGGTGATTATACACTAATGACAACATAGTTATGCTCATTATATTCCATTTATCAGAGTTAACGCTAGACTTTTTTTGATAGTGAATATGGCTGATAATATTACAGAATTCCAACCATTCAGAACAACTGCCAGACATATGTTTGTCTCCTCCTCTACCTTGCTGTGTGATCGACTCTTCAGCTGACAGCACTGTCAGCAGCTGGCAGGAGAGGTGCTCTGGACCGTGCTGCACTGAAAGCCCGCCCCGCTGCTGCTGAGTGCTGTTTATTCAAAGTTTATTAAAATTGAATGTGTTGTGTCCAAATTGCATCAAATTAGACACCACGCTTCCTTGGGGCCCCAGAAATACACTTACTAAGTGTAAAGTCAATTGGATGAACGGTTGTTGAGAAAAGTGAAGCGCACACACCCACACACACACCCACACCCACACGATTTGATTTTTGCTTATTTGGTCACAATGTCACTGAGCCTAAGGTGATGTCCTACATTTCATTGTTTTGTCCGACCAACGCTCCAAATGTAATTATATGTATTAAATTTACATATTCCATTTACAATTATACAAAAAAGAGGAAAGTAAAAGAACCAGTGAATGTTTGCCGTCTCTGCTTGTTAAATAACCCAATTAATCAATAATCAAAACAGTTGCCAACTGATTTTCAGTTAATTATCTATTTGATAAAACAACTTTCATTACAGCCTTTCACACTGTGCTGCGATTCAAATGCCTTACGCTAACTTCTCAGCGGCTAGCGACCTGACCCTCATTTCAAGGTCTGTAATGATGATACTGTGATTTTGTGACATCATTTGATAAGACGCTCATTCATCCTGATATGGTCCGTACCTGATGGGGTGGTCTCCGCAGGTCTTGGGTCTCTCCATCACTGACACCCACTTGTCATCATAACTGAAGAGGGAGAGGTCGAGGTAGGGGCTGCTGCTGTAGGACTGGGCGCTGATGGGCAGCTGACCCAGCAGCCGACGCACCGCCTCCGTGTGCCCGCCGTATTTGGCATTCACTATGGTGTCTTTGAATCTGAGGCGCAGACAGACAGGGATATCAGCACGATGACAATAAACAGCAACAGGAATCTCATATCATTAGTGAATAAGCGTTACACCTCTTAGTTCGGTTTGAAGTTGAGAAAGAATTGAGTTTACACTATACTTGTTTTGGTTTGGAGAAGAACGGCTCAAAGCCTCTATTTGACACAATGAATGTCTGAACTAGGTTGGAATTCTAAGCCACTTCTTCCAAACGTACCTGGCTAAATTACAGTCGCACTACACACTCTGTTGTCTCACATTCCCTCCTCCATTCTCTCCATCCATATTTTCAGTGCTCCCTCTCAACTTGTTTTGTGCTCCACTCTTGCAGACATGCCTGTCTCTCTATATACTTGGTTTGTGGCTGCCTAACACCCTATGAACTGGGCTTATGCTAGCCAGTTGGTAAGTGGTACAAATCTGGTTTGTTGAATGTGCTCTGCAGCTTTCAATTTCTCCTCTCCTTCTTCCAGACATCAATTTTCACCACTCTAAAATCCTGTTATAAGCTCTTTTCCTCGCTCAAACTATCCTTTATCTTCTCCTCCTTCTTCAACCCCCCCCCTCTGTCTGGTACTCCCTCTTCACCTTCCACAGGATTTTGTCACCTACGCTGGCAAGTCGAACAACCAAATTCAATCACAGCTCCCCCAGCTGTGCTGACTGTCTTAATGTCTCTTCTATATCCATATTAAGTCCTAAAACTCCTTCCTCCTCCTCCAGGCAATTGCTGCTGATTTGGTTCCCTTCCTAACCAACGTCTTCAAATCCTTCCTGACATTTGGCTGCACACTATCAAGTGCAGTTTTTTCTATCATCAGGAAAGACCCGCAGACCCAGCAGCTTGCCTGCACAATTATACCCAAACTGAAGTATATTCAAGTTTCAATATTTGGTGTTTCAATTCAATAACAGGACATTTGTCTCCTCTGTACCTTCTCTGGACCTGCCGTGCATAGTTGTTGGATGAAGCGGAGCAGGGGAACTGGACGGCCTGGCTGTGCAGCGTAGCGTTTCTGAACAGGTCGCAGAAATTCTCAAACAGCTCCAGCAGCTGGTCAGAGGTGTTCTCAAAGACGGCCAGCACCTCTGTAGACACCATGTTGTACACAACGAAGAACGACGGCTGAGAGAGAAAACAAGGGAGGAGGGGTGAAGGTTTGGAGAAAAGACACACAGACTAAAGGTTTGCAGTATTTCTTTCTTAAAGGTATGTTTTTTTCAAACAACACAACAAAGGAAAAAACCAAGGACAGTCAGTAACAGTGAGATATTTATTACAGTGAAACTCTAATCACGAGATTGTATATTCTATATTGCTAAAATGAAAGAAGCTGATCGGCAAGGATGTCAGAGGTGAGATTTCATGTAAATAAAACACATTAATTAGATCTACTTATTCTTGTTATGAATGAATGACAGGACTGAACAGAATCTGTAGGAGCGACGTGTCCTTGGAGACCTGAAAGAGGAATCCCTGTTATGCAGCACAAACGACAAAAGACACTAGAGAGGCAGGGGGGGAGCAGCACAGAGAACACAGGGAGGAATTCAGGTGTGTGTGTGTGTGTGTGTGTGTCTACCTGCGAGGGGTCTGTGACTCTGAGTGTGACCACGTCTTCGCTGGTGTATTTAATGAAGAGGTGATGCTCATCCAACAGCTGCATCTTCCACATCCTCAACCTCCTCAGCTGATCAAAAAACTGGAAGAACCTGACGACAAAACCAAGAGCTGGATGAGCCAAAGCTATCAGTACATGAATGTCTAACATCAGTACAATGTGGAAACGATAGATGATAGGCTGAAGAGATGTTTTTTGCGGTTGAGGTTTTATTCACCTTTACAGCAGTGTGCCGAACTGTAAATATCTGGCTAGACTGCAACAAAGCGTGGCCGACCCTATAAACACAAAAGTCTGTCACACACCACTGCTATGGTCGAGTGTGGACTTTACTCATTGGCCTTCAGAAGGATTTTCAAATCCACCTCCACTCAAATTCATTGATTCTTTTTGTTCCTACAGTGTGCTGTTTGAATGCTGTCTGTGCAGAGTTTGACTCTAGAAAGATGTTTTCACCTGATTTTAAGGGGTCCTGGTCCAGTAATGTTACGACTTGTTACAGTGTGAGTGTTATAGAAAACCTAGAACCAACACGTGCCAGCTAATCCACTGAGAATGGAGTGAAAGAGGAGACATCAAGTCCATTCATCTGTTTTTAAAGCATTTAAAAATGATTTTTTAAATTTTTTATTTTTTATTTTACATTAATTGTAACAAAGAATTCATTACTTCACTTCTTAATTTCAGTGTTTTGCTTTTATCAGTATTCGTGGCAGTCGTATTCTCAGTTGTACTGTAAGGAACTATGATGATACTATAATGTTCTATGGATGCCAGAGAAAAAAATAAACATGGTCCAGCAATAAAACTACTTTAGGTTTCTACCTAGGCTTGTTTTCTAAAAGTAAATATTTATTAGCCAATTAACTGTTTAGTCAACCAGTTGGCAGAGTATTAATTAAGAACAGTTGTGTTAATGGATGACAAGATGGGTCATATAATGAGCTACAATGGCAAATTTGCATTGCTTTGTAAGCTCTCCAATATGATGATTTGCTGCCCTCCTGGTCAATGTCTTTGTGATGTAACAGATTCTAGTTTCAGTCATAAATTACACTGCAAAACCCCTTTATCAATGAATTGGAGCTCACAAAACAATGCTAAATATAACATCAATTGTCAGTTATAGTGATATGATTCTTATACTTTTTGTTTTAGATTTTATGAAATTTTAAGTATTTTGGATTCTAATGTCCTATTGGCATGATAGTTAAGCTTGTTTACTTCAACACACTGTACTATACTATATTTGTTTTTACTATGTTTATAGTAATTGTTCACATTCACAGCAGGAACCTTCTCAGGGGACCAACAACCTTTTGAGGAACTATGGAGCCTGCGTTTTGAACACAAGAGCCAGGGACTAAATGTGCTTTTCCACTGCATGGTACGGCTCGACTCGCTCCTTTTTGGTCTTCCATCATGGCTCGTACCTGGTACTTATTTTGGTACCGCCTCGGTTGAGCTTATACTAAAAGGTTACGTGAAAACAACCAGACTAGTGACTGGTTATGCGACCCTGCATTTTAAAATAGCCACAATTTTTGTATCTGCTTCAAAGGGCAGACATATCAATCCTCATCCCTTCATATCTTCGGTTATAACTGTAGCAGCTCATTTTGGTGTGTGTAGTTAGTGTGTGGATGAGTGAAAGGGAGAGAGAGCGATGCAGAGGAAAAGAGAGCAGTGAAGTTGTCAATCTGGCAATAAACACAATGTAGATTACAGTCTGTCAGTGAATAAAGGCTGCAGCTTCTCAAGACCAAAGGAAAGCCCCCTGTTGTTTCCTGTTTTTTCCCAAACAAGTTGCTATGACAGTCAGCTTCGCCTGCATTGAGGGGGTACTATCAGAAGTACTATCTACAGTTAAAAACAAAGTACAGGTACTAAAAGAGGGTAGAGCTTATAAAACCTCCTGGTCCGGAAATAGTACTTTCTAATGGTTTGGGAACTATGGAGACGGAGTTTGCAAGGCTTACAGCTGCTGAATGGTCAGACATGGACACCGCGGCAACTACAACAAAAGATGGAGAGAAAGAGAAAGAGAGTGTGTGCAGAAGAGAGAGCGAGAGAGGGGGGAACCTGCGGTCGAGAAAGCGAGGGAACGAATGAGAGAACAAAGACAGCGAAGGAGAGAAATAAAACTTAATTTGCTGATAGTTTCATGGCCATTACATTCTAAAGCAGAAATTAGTTAGGGCTGGACAATTAACTGAAATGTCAAAATTGCTGCAGTTTTTTGATAAAGGCAATTTTTTTGACAAACTGCATTATTTTGGAGTACTGTAGTGCTGCAGAGATCCCCTGACCTATAAACCTTGTTCCCCAGATATAAGAAAACATGTTTGTTTGTTACTACAGACCCCCAACAAATGTCACATCATCATGATTTTAATAGCTTGCAAAATATGATCTTTACTGGCTAATCGTGAATCATCGTCAATCGCAGTGTTGATTTTTTTACCAAATCATGCAGCCCTAAAATGAATACCCACCCGGAGAAACGCAGAGCAAAACAACTACTCCTGCTCTGCATTTCTCCTCTCCTCAGACTCTACTGTACTGAAATACAAACATGTTTCAGCAGACCTGGGTGAGAGGCAATAAAAATAGATGGATAAAAGTAAGAGAACAATAAAAACAATTGAGAGAACATTGTATACCTCCTCTTGGCAGTGGCGCTGCCATCCTGCTCAGCCCTCCTCCAGAGGTAGACCAGCAGCCTGTGCTTGAGGGAGTTGATGGTTTTGTCAGTGTACAGGCGAGGGAAGCCCGGCTGACTCTCAGCCTGAGCCTCAGTGTAAACTGCTGAAAGAGTCAGGAGATCGTCCTCATAACAGAAGCGCCCAATAGTCCTTACATCTAGGAACGTTCCCTCTGGAGTGACCTGGGAAGGGGAAAGGAAAAAGAGAGATGAGGGAAAATAAAAACACAAATAGAAAATGGAGAAAAATGTTTCAAACCCTATCATTGGGTAGAAAACTGGGAGTCACGTCAGATACGTTATCTCTCATATCTGAGCATAAATCTGCTTCTTCAAAAGTAAATCCAAACTGAATTGTACAGGGCAGAAAAGCTGCTGCTCCACTGCTATCTATGGGTTAATAGCTGTTATATCTGATATCTAGATATCTGCCCGCAACATCAATACTCATTGGTGTGTCACATGCATTAAAGTTTTAAATCACTGAAGCCATTTAGTGTAGCTTTAGGTTTTAAATGGTGAATCTGCTCACCTGAAACACGTGTATGGTCTGCTGCTGGACCGACAGCACAGCCAGGATGTTCCTGTAGAGGTAGAGGCCTTGGTTGTGGGACAGGATGATCTTGTCACACTTGAAGGACCTAGTGTCGCACAGCCTGCCAGTGTGGAGGTCGATAATGTGGAGGGAGTAGTCTTCTAGAGGAGACCGGGGGTTGGGAGTCACGGATTCATTGTTTCGATACACCTGGTGGGAGATGAAATATGGATTAAAGGGGCAGTCTGAGCCAAACCACGGCAGTACTTTCGCAGTAAATGTGTAGTTTTTGAGCTTCCTTGTACATCTATAGTAGGATGGTGGTGTTGTTACCTCAAAGAAATAAGGCGGCGGCTCCTCTGGGACGTACACAGCTGACCCGACAATGACATAGCGGCAGTCGTCTGTGAAGAGGCTGCACTCCCGGTTGAGGTGTTCTCCGTTTGAGGCCACATTAGTGACGTGGAGCAAGGAGAAGAAGCGCTCAAACAGGCGGCCTCGGATGTTGAGAGAACGCTGATCATTGGCCGTTAGAAGAGTCTCTCCCTCTTGACCTCTCAGCAGGTCCTGAGCCGCCTGGCAGCCTTGGTATTCATATATCTGCAGGAGGAACATTGGGATTGGTAGACGGGGAAAATTGGGTAGTTGGATGGACCAAGTCTTTTACAGTCTGGGCCAGTTGCTTTTGACAGTTGGGAGATAAAAATCACACAATATGTAGTATTTAAGGACTTTAGGGGGGAAATATGAGGGAAAACTAAGCTAACAGTTTCTTTTCTTACCTCCAGAGAAGTCTGGTCAGAAGAGAAGGCGATGAAGCAGCGTCCGTCTGGTGAGAACTTCCTTAGGAAGCAAGGGGGCTTCTCCACGTTGACCACAGTGAAGTTGGGGAAAAGGTTCTGGTGGAAGCAACGCACTCTGTACCAGTGAGCTCCGGGCTGGCCCGAACAGATCCTGCGCCTCTCAAGACGATGAACCACGTTTTGATTTTGGATCCGTCTGGGCTTCAGGGTTGGGGTGTCCTCATCCATTGCTGTGACTGGAGAAAGATCTCAAACCCCTCCTCGGAAGGTAGTTAGACAGGGGGCCAGTGCAGTGAAACGACTACATCACAAGTACAGCCCGGTTACTTGTGTTCTCTAGAGAAAGAGAGGGGAGAAACGTAACAGGTCAGTGCTCTGTTTGAATCTTTAGTGCTGAAATCATCAGTTGAGCAATCAATCACTCGATAAAAAGACAGCAATACATCTCAGTGATCAAGTAAAACTACAAAATATTTGCTATTTAGTTACAAATATAAAAGAGATGCTTGCTTCTTTAATGTTACTGAAAATGTTAAAAATAAAATAAAGTTATAATCTCGAAGATTTTCATTTGAATAAGTCACTATCTATCGCCAAGTGACACTATGGTGCCTGAACCTGTGGCCCACTGATGAAAGCATTTCTACATTCTTCAACATTTCTATATTCTCAGTATTTCGAACTGGGTGTCTGTGCCGGGGGAAATGCAGTAGTAAGTTTAATTCAATTCAATTTTATAATTGTATTAGCGCCAATTAATCAACAGAAGTATCTCAGGACACTTTTCAATAGAGCAAAGTTCTAGACCGAAACTCCTTATAACATTATTTAACAGAGTTCTAACAATCCACATGGAGGCAAGACCCTTGGCGGACGGGGGGCAAGGAAGAAAACTGCTTTTTAACCCTTCAGCTCTATGGTGGGTGGTCGTTGCCTTTGACCAGTTTGGGGTGTGTGTGTGAGAGAGAGGAGAGGAGGAGATGAAAGATGGAGAGAGAGAGAAGAAGAAAGAGAGAGAGGAGAGAGAAGAGCGAGAGAGAGAGAGGAGAGAGAAACAGGAGGCGACGAGAGAGAGAGAAGAGACGAAGAGGGAGAGAGGAGGAGACCAAGGTGCACAGCAACAACAGTAGCAACAACACTAATAGTAGTGACTGATGATGATGAACATGAAGAAGATGATGACGACGACGATAACAACGATGGAGGACAATGAGCAATGATTATAATATTAATAGTATCTGAAGTAATAATAATAATAATAATAATATTAATAATAATAATATCAGTATCACTGATAATAATATCAGTAATATTAGCAGTGGGAGTCAAGCAGGACCATGGCAGGAGGCACCTGCGAGACGAGAAAGCACAAGAACTCCGGGGAAGAAGTCAAGTTAGTAACATGCATTAACGGAACAGAAAATGAGTGAGAAAGAAGGAGAGAAGGAAAGAGAGGAGCTTCAAGTGCATCATGGGGAAATTCACCAAATAAGTCAGGGCCTATAGCAGCATAACGAGTTGACTTTTATTATGAAGTAGTAGTGACCGGAAATGCAGTGTGTTTTTCAATGAGTTTGACACTGACCGCTATTGTTCATCCAAAATGCTGAAATATTGCAGGGTATCGAGTCAAGGAACGAGGAGGAGCAGCCACAGTTGGATGAAGAGCTGCAGGCGATATGCTTCAAGTTCTCAGCGAGGTAACAAACTCCTTTCACTGTTCACAGATTCATGCCATGTGCCGCGTGGTTGCTCACAGAATGGTGGAAAAAGGCAAATTAGTGGCCGACTTCTTTATTGAAACAACAACAGTTTTGTTTTTCCGGCTTTTTGTGGAGCACTGGCTGCTACTTTTGTTGTGAGACCGTGACATGAATGGCTTCCAATCTGGGGTCTGCCCGTTGAGTTTTATTTTGAAAAGTGACTGGATTCTCTATGTTGTTATTTTTCTTGATCAAATTATAGAATCCTTTTTGGTTTCTGAGGTAGGCGCCTTGACACAGCTACTGACATGAGTGACGTAGGACTCGAACAAGCAACGTAAAACGCTTATAGCGCCCCCTAATGTTTAGAAAGAATATCATTAATTTTTCATCTCACCCTTTGTATCTCATATATATAGTGAGAAAGTGAGAAAAAAAAAGTTCTGCAATCAGCTCTGGCCGGCCGCGTCACAGCTGGAACGTTTCACACCTAGTCCTGGTGGAATCGAGCTAATTCTTTCCTCTGCTATGTTTCAGCATAATATGACGACAGCTCAGCAAGCGGTGTGCCAGCATTTTCGCCATTTTTCCAATTATGGTACAGGATCAGTCATTTCCATGCTTTCCATTCATTGACTATGTGAGCAGCCATGCAGTGCATTCTGGTAGCGCAGTGGGGGAGCGTCACATTGGCTTCTCCTGCTGGTTGAGGCTCCTTCATGCAAATCAGGGGCGTCCGGCAGCGCGACTCGCCACCTCTGCAAACTGCCAAAAAACTGCTGCCAATCTAAAATGAAGATAGACTCAGCAACTTATGGCTTAATTCTTGCCTGTAAAGTTTTCAGAGACACAATCTGCTGAACTGTTTTTGTAATATAAGAGAACGTTCACAAACTAACCGTGGCGGTCCGGTTTACAAATCCCGGAGCAGAAAGTGTTCGTCCAATTAGGTGCATCCAGGAAGTGTTTGCGAGGTTGTGGGAGGCTCTTTTATTGGTCAATGTGACTTAAAGCGTCCAACGCTGGGACGCCCCCTCGCGTCCAAAACCACCTCTGTGGGCGCGTACCATTACTGTGACGTCACATGGAAGCAGGACATGTCCACAACCCTGATGACGTCACCAGGGTTGTTTTTTGAGACTTCAGAAATGTCCTCCAGAGCCGCAGCCGACACTGTACAGCGGTTTCCCCGCACTGAGCAGTACAGTGCTCTTTATGGACACAGAAACCAAACACACATTAAATCCACAGCTCCCTTTGAAAGTAACGGGTGTCAGTTAGCTCAGCCAGGTCGACAAACGTTCATCGACTGAAATCACTAGACATTTAACACAGTGCGCTGTTACTCACTTTTAAAAGCAAAGCAGTGTGACACTGGGAGGTTTCTGGCTCCCGAGTTCAGCTTGTGTTAGCGACAGCAGTTAAGTTGTGCTGACGAGCTCGACAACTTACAGTGAACGCTAGCTGCCGGTGGCTAGGTCGAACCTCGCGTTACTGGGAAACCTCCCGCTTCATTTATTGCACAAAGTGGAAAAGTTACTGTAACCTCTCACATTTCTGCAAATGTCCGACTGTCTGAAGCACAGAAGTGACCAAGAGCCGCTGTTTGTTGTGGGAGAGCCGTGGAGGAACCGCAGAAGAAGAAGAGGAAGCTGGACTGAAGTGTGGCTCAAAGCTGCTCACAGCGCCACCACATTCTCCTCAGGCCGGAAACGGCATTGCAACCGGTAACCGTTGTATCAAATAGTCAATGGATTTGTGAGGCTCACCTAAATTTACACACAGCATGTGCTGCAGTTTTGATTGAGCTGACATAAAATGGCATCGAAGGACATAATGGTCACAGTATAGTATAACACAAGACTTATGTTAGAACAGTGTATGTTAGAACAAAGCAATTTATGTATTTTTGATTATTCAAAAAACATTAGAAGCTTTAGGCAACATTATATTAAATTAATTGACTTGACTATATTTCTGAACATCCCGGTGCAATATGTAACTGAACACAATTTTAAGTAGGTAATTGCAGTGGACTGTAATTTGAGTCAACCCTTATAGTGGCCACACATGTGCCAAACATACACCTGCTGATTTCACTGAAGTGCCAATTTACTGATCAGTAGGTGGGTTTGCAGGTGAGGAGCACAAGTGTGCCAGCAAACTTTGGACATGATTATAATCGCTTCAGCTAAATTGGCAGAGGAAAACAACAGACCTTTGGCCACTGTACCTACAGTGTATTTAACTGTCTTTTTTGTTTTGCCTATTTCATTTAATTGATTTGTTTATAACAGCATGTAGCATAAGTGAACCCGAGGTGACCTGCGTTTTGCTCCCCATAATGACAGATAATTAAATTATAATTATCCTCTTTCTTATGAGGTTCTTACAGATTGAGAATAGCATTATAAAAAGAAAAAGAAAAATGCTCATAGTACATTGGTCTTGGAAGACTGCTAATGGTTCTTTGTGCAATTATCCCTGACCAAAGAGTCTGGCTTAAATGTTGTAATTTTCCATAAAAGCACATGTAGTGGGCATAAAAGGCCGATTTGAAAAGAAAAATGAAGAAATGAATGGAAGGAAGGATGTGAAATTATCCACTTTAAAATCTAATGGCATTTTCCTTTTCAACTATGCCTGATTAAACCTGTGCTTCAAGATGTAGATGTCTGTGTGTGTGTGTCTTTGCATGAAGTTTGTGTCTGTGTGTCGAGTCTGTGCCTCAAATTCGTGTGCATGCATATATGTGTGTGCACATCCAGGTGTTTGTGTGCTACAACAATAACCCACACAGGGGTAATTCAAAATAGAAACTATGTACTATCCTCTGGTTGTTCTTCTGTTATTTTCTAATAAATAGCTAATAAACCGCTCACCAGACAGGACCCTCGCCTCAGCTTTTAGCATCAGCCCCCGAAGTACAGAAGAGATGGAGAGTCTGAGTGTTTTTATATACTTTTTAGCCGATCTGCCAGAAGACACAGTGCTTATTTAAGATCATTTTTTTCATCCTTCTGTGCTTTTTACTGCTCAAAGTGGACAGTGTCTATTCTTCCCGCTCTTGTTCACATCTCTTTCTCCAGGTGAAACAGCACAGAAATTTTGCTCTTAACTGCATGCTTTCGGCAATATCACCCTACCCCAAAATGCCAAAATGGAGTTACTCGAAAACTTCAAATTGTTCTCTTTTCAGCAGTCAGGAAAAATAAGGGCAGAAAAAAAAAATGCAACCAGTGCAAGCAGTGACTTTCTGCAACAACAGGTCTTAAGTACAATATTAAAAAAAATGTAAGGAAAAAAAGATAGATAGAAAGTAGAGCTCTCTAACACCCTGTTTTGGAACAGTTAATAATGGAGCTGAACAGAGTGCAAAGTCTAGAATTGCCATTATTATCATCATTATAATGAACAGAAATGTCTAAAAGAGCATTTGCATTAAAGGACATCTGGATGAGAAGTATAGAGCAAATTCATTGACTTGATAAAACTCCTATATAAAAGGCACTTAGAAAAGGTTATTCAAAGCATGGAGAGCAAATAGAAATACATTGTTTTACCATTTCCTCCATCTTTTTTACTCAGACAGTTGTGTTTGGCATTTAACAAAAGCTTTTAACTTTTTGATCCAGCCTAATTTCAGAGCACAATAGGACATTTTAATACTGTAACTTTCCAATCCCTATGCAGTATGAACTTTTCGTGTCTTTTGCGACAGTGGATGATTTCTGCTTTTTTTTCTGAGAAATTACAGTGATCACAAATGCATTACGGCAGGCCTGTTTGCCACAGTCTCTGCTGCCCTGCAAAGTGTGAACTGCCGGACTGTGAGAGAGGTGAACAGGGAGAGAGATGGGTGAGAGCAAGATACAGCAGGCTACATGTTTTACATGTTTTACATCTTTTAGCTTTAGGACACAGCACAGGTCCAGAGGCCCAAAGGGTCAGGGTTGCGTGTAGTCTGGCATAACTAAAAAAGCCTTAAATGTCGTCCTCAGAGTCCTATAAAGTGTTAAGATGTTGAAATATTTAATGCATATTATATTCGTAAAAATATTCAATCATACAGTTGTGGAAAAAACGTCATGGAAAATGTACCTATGTTGAACAATAAAATAACATAATTTATATATATGATGTGTTTTGATTTCATTGCACATATATAAACACATATATACGCATTCATATACAATACATTAAATTATTAAGTTGCACAGAATAATACAAGAAATAAAAAACACAGCCCACTTAACAAATATCAATATGAAATCAATTCAAAGAAAACAAAAGAAAACAAAAGAAAAGACATGGATGAAATAAACATAAAAAACAGTGATGGGTTAGAGTAGTGGAAAGGGGATTGGGATTGGGGATAGGTAGACAGTACCTGTTTATTGCAAGACCTGGGCTAGACTATAAGTAATATGATATTTTATGGATTCTATCTTTGCGGTGTATATTATTGCATTTTCTTGTATGATCTCCAATTGGAAAGGTTGATTTTTCCATGTCCAAAGGTTGATCAATTGTCGAGGATCATGGATTTTAGTTTAGTTTAGGGTTTGGCTGTTTTCAGGTCCTTGTGAATTTCTTTGAGGCCGTCACATAAAACATATTAAAGAGATGCACTTGACGTGTGTAAGTGGCGTCTTAAGGTAGTAGATGTTCAAGATGTAGCCAATTTAAACTATGTTATATAATGTAGGTTTCTTTAATCCAATGCATTATATTTTACTTTAAGATCATCATATTTTTTTATATATATAAAACCTCAATCTAGTAACTAAAGCCATCAAATAAATGTAGTGGAGTAAAAAGGAAACACTAAAGTAGGTACTAAAGTAGCTCAAATTTGAACTTAAATACAGCAACATTGAGGTGTAGTTCCCCTTTGTATGTTTTAGTGCTAAACTTGAATTGTGAAAAATAATATTCCTTACATGTGATTTGGACCCACCTCCTGCCAAACTAAAGAATGGGGGATTAGGCATCCTTGTCCTGAGCCCCATCGAATCAAACTGAATCAAATCGAATCCAAAAGAATTAAATTTATTGTCACATCACACTTTACATGAGTGTAGGCATGAGTAAAAATAATTGGGTGTGCAGTCCTTCAATAGTGAAGAATCATTGTAAATAATAACCCATATTCATGTTTAAAAATAAGCTACAATACAATAGACAGAACAATAAACACACACTAGATAGCACACATTAAATACAACAGACTTTGCAATATTATGAGAATCACTCTGACAAATAAGCATTTACATAGAAAATTCAATACACACACTGTCCCTGTGCAGCTATGAATAAGACACAATCAAATAAATTACAGTACACGCTGATACATAATATGTCTCATAATCCTCCCGTGGTCTCTTGGCCGAAGGTGCAGGCGGGCTTATGAAAAAGAGAATGTAAGTGCATGTAATAAAATACACATTGACAACTGACATCCAACCATGAAT